ATGGCTAAGCCCTATGGTTGTGACACCCGTAACCCGTATACAGTCTACAGGCTGTGCCATATGGACGATATAACGATAAAATAATAATTTGCAGAAGCGAAAATACAAAATCCAAAAACATTTTAATCAAATCAGAGTAAGCAGCGGAAAATACAAGCGATCAGTATCGTAAAGCAACAACATGTCCGAAAAGTCATAACACAACCGTACAAAATGCGGGAATATGAGTCCCGGGGTTCAAAATAATATCCCGTACATGATGCTGCTTCTCTCAGGTCGTCGTCGTCCGCGCGCTAGGCGTAATCCTCGTGATCTGAAAAAAAATATAAAACCACGAGGGCTAAGCACAATTGCTTAGTGAGTAGCCTGGGTTGAACCCGGTAAACCCGTTCTCAGCGAGAACAGTGTTAGAACGATGATTCACAATAACATACAGCAATAATAACATGCATTATCACAGAACGTGCATCACACATATAACAACAATCACAATCACACCCGCATGGAGTCCACCATGGGCTAGCCATAAACCCTAGTCAAGCACAAGGCCATGTCTAGTGAGGTGACAAATGCTAGATGTATACATCGCATGTGTGTGTCCCATGTGCACGTGCACGTGAACCTGCAACGGGGTCGCTACGAATTTCATAAGCATTACGTATATGATGCGTGCATGCATGCAAACACATGCGACAAAATACATCGATACGATAAAATATTTCGTTATGAACTTTCGGACATCATTAGTTTATCGTCATAGTGGGCTGAACCTTTTCATAAAAACAAAAGCAACACGATTCTATTATTTCTAAAAGAAAATACGAAATACACTGAAATACGTATATATTGCTTGGGCTATAAATGAGCGTTTTAGTCGCTAGTGGGCCTACATGAGAACATCGATCCATTATAATATTGCGCTTGTTACTATAATACACAGGCCCAAACTTATGTGGAATATATACATTTTTTTTTATGAATGGTTAATTTTATAAATAATCAAAACATTACAAAAGGGGGTTTTAAAACCCGGTAACCTCATAAGTATATTCCACATAGTTTTAATATATATATATATACACGTATGTATTCCATATTAGACTTTCATTTTTGGACCGTATTTTAATTATAGGACGGGACAATACTTCTAACGGATAAGTATATGCTAATTAACATATAAGATGGTGTGATCCAAACATAAAATAAAAAGAGTTAAATACGATATAGTGAAAATATATGTAGATCGTGAATTGCCTTTTCTTCCAATTCAACTACAAATGATGGCTACGATCGATGACTTTCCTTTTTTTTTTTTTTTTTTTTTTTTTTAAAAGGGGGATTTTTTTTTTTTTTTTTTTTTATAAAAGGGAGTTAAAACTTTTGAATTACATCACGCAACCACGAGGGGTTGTAATTCCAATCCTATCAGCATAAAGTAACTCGGACATGGCAGATGGGGGAGACTCAAAGACCGTCAAACCGATCGGCAAATTATGTCCCATAGAGGCGAGTTGATCGGCACAGAAGTTCGATTCACGAAAGACATGAGAAACTGAAACTGTCCACTGTCTCGCACATATATCCTGTATTGCCTTTATGATTGAGCCATCCACTGTGTTTAATATGTTCGAACTTTGGATCGCATTGACTAATGCTTGATTATCCACCTCCACTATCACTCGATGCCATCCTCTTTCCCACGCCAACCTTAATCCAAGCAAAACTCCCCAAGCTTCCGCTCTAAACACCGAACAAATCCCTAGATTAGAGGCAAAACCAACGATCCAATTGCCCCAACTGTCCCTTACTAGGCCACCCGCTGCTGCCGAAACGGGATTTCCCCGAACACTTCCATCTGTATTTAGTTTCATAGTATCCCAAGGTGGAGGATCCCAACAAATATCCTGTACAATTCGTGGTCTTTTCGATGGTGACATAAGAGTTAAACTTCCCCACTCATGAATTTGTCTAGAATATAGCATAATATTTTCCGTTATCTGGGATGGGATACCTTGATTTTGGAAAACAAAGTTGTTGCGCCAACGCCACAAGAACCAGCATGTAACACCAAATATGGTCGACCATGGCAATTTCTCAAGCTCCGAGCCACTTAACAAGTTCCTTTCAAACCATTCGGATGCGTTATATCTGAAAAAGTCTGACTGTTCAGTCTCCCCTCTGATGTTCATCCATATTTTTTTCGCAACCCGACAATCTCTCAAAACATGGAGGATAGATTCTTCCTGAGGACAACCTAATGGACATTCAGCAGTTGGACTGAATTTTCTTTTTGCTCTCTCACAATTCGTCAATAGTTTATGATTGAATGCTAGCCAAAGGAAAACCCGGATTCTCTCTGGGCCTCGCCATTTCCATATTTTGGTCCATATAGAAGCAGAGTTATTGACAAAATCAGGAACAAGGGATCGATATGCACTCTTCACTGTACATTTACCGTCTCTAGAACCACACCAATATAACTGATCCCTTTCCTCCGATAATCCTGGGGGAAGAAGATTTGCTATCTTAAGGCATGTAGAATGGGGGATATGGTCTGAAAAAAGGTCCCACCGCCATGTTCCATCTGAGTTTACAAATTCCGACACCGGAATGAAGCTGGCTAGAGGTTGCTCTTCTGGTCGGATATATTCAAGAAGAGGTTTGTCTCCTTCAACCCAGTTGTCCCTCCAAAAATCAGTTTGTTGTCCATTACCAATTAAGGTTCCGCAACCACCCCGAGTAATCTGCCATACTGATTTAATACTTCTCCAAACAATAGATCCTCCGTGAGTAGGAGGGTGGTACCCAATCCGTTTTGACTTTGGAAGATATTTTCCTCTTAGCAACCTCACCCAGAGGTCATTCTCTTGAGTAAGAAAGTGGAACGCCAACTTCATGAGAAAAGCTTTGTTAAATCTTTGTGTCGGCCTTATTCCTAGGCCTCCCATGTGTTTTGGTAAGTTAACACGCTCCCACTTGACTAGTGGAACTTTCCAAGAGGAATCCGTTGTCCCCCAAATAAATCTTCTCATAATTCTGTCCAATTCCTTGCATACTGACGAAGGGAGCTTAAAAACTTGCATCACATACGAAGGAATTGTGTTAAGAACAGATTTAGTGAGAGTGATTCTTCCGGCTAATGATAACAGTTCATCTTGCTGAAATGTCGGGTTTTTCAAGTGCGACAGAGTTAGGAATGTATCTAGGAGCTCCAATCTTCCATTCTAGAATATCTCGGAATACGTTTGATTTCACTTGAAAAACCCGACATTTCAGCAAGATGAACCCTCAACTCAGGCCTCACATTGGCAGAAAAATATATTTGGCTCTTACTGACACTAACCTTTTCCCCGGAAGCCTCACAAAAGAGCTGGAGAGTGTCACAAACCGTCTCCATCTGAGTTTCTGACGCTTCTGCAAACAGAATAAGATCATCGGCAAAAAAGAGATGTGTGATAATAGGTGTACCTCTTTTGATCTGGAACCCCCTCCATCTTTCTTCCTCAGTTCTTTGTTTGATGAGATGTGCTAGACGTTCCATACAAAGAACAAAGATATATGGAGATAGAGGGCAACCCTGGCGGAGACCTCTAGAAGGAGAGAAACTTCTAGTCTGTTTTCCATTCCAAACAACCTTCATGTTAACCGTAGTGATGCAACTCATGATAATAGCAATGAGAGTGTGGGGTAGACCTATTTCTACGAGAGTCTCTTCAATAAAATTCCAACGAATTCTATCATAAGCTTTCTCGAGGTCTACTTTAATCGCCATGAAGCCTCGTTTGTTCTTTAATCTGTCCATTGAATGGATGATCTCTTGAACCATTATGATGTTATCCGTTATGTGTCTACCCGGAATGAAGCTATTCTGCTCTGGTCCAATCATTTCCGGAAGCAAAGGCTTTAGACGGTTGGCAATAAGCTTCGTTAAGACCTTATAGACCACATTGCAGAGACTTATAGGTCTAAATTGAGAGATATACTCAGGATTCTGTATTTTTGGTATCAAGACCAATAAGGTAGTGTTAATTGTCGGGTCAAGGGGAATCCCTTCGAAGATTCTGAGAATAAAATTATAAATATCCCTACCCACTGTCCTCCACTGGTTCTGGAAAAAAAGAGGGCTCAAACCGTCAGGACCCGGACTCTTGCATGGATTCATTGAGAAAAGAGCCTCCTGGACTTCTGTAATGGAAGGTGGTCGAGCTGTCTTTGCTAACATGTAGGGATCCAATGACGGAAAAGATCCTTTCAGGCAACCTCGAGAGCTTACCCCATCCTCAGTAAAGAGCCGTTCAAAATAAGTTACTACCAGATCTCTTAGTTCTTTATCTCTAACCCACATACCATCCATATCTCTTAGTTGGTAGATTGTGTTTCTCCTACGCCGAATAACTGCCTTGGCATGGAAAAATTTTGTATTTCTGTCCCCATTGTTGATCCATTCTGTTTTTGCTTTCTGAAACCAAAATAATTCTTCCTGACGTAATACTTGTTCAAACTCTTCTTTCAATCTGATTTCCAATTCTTGAAGATAAGCATTTGTTGTCCCATGATTCAGAGTCCTCTCAATCCCCCTGATACGAGCCATTAGTCGTTTTTTCTTTCTCGTGATATTGCCAAATATTTGATGGTTCCACCTAGAGGCTTGGAGGGAAAATTCAGAGATTGTTGCAGCTATGTCCGTAGATCCTTTCCAATTGCTGACCACAAAATCATTAAAGCTCGGATGGAGAATCCAAGCTGCTTGGAAGCTGAAAAATTTGGTATCTTCCTCACGCCTCTGTTGTGTAAGAGATAGTAAAATAGGGCAGTGGTCTGACTTTATTCTAGCTAGATGTTGAATTCTGCTATGTGGGAAGGTGGAAACTCCTTCAAGGTTGCCCAAAACTCGATCTAATCTCTCCTCTACATCACCCCTTTTCCAAGTGAAACGTGGTCCCTCAAACCCCATATCCATCAAGCTGCATTCCTCAATACAGTTACGGAACGGCCGACACTTACTGTCACTTATAGTTGCCCCTCCCCTTTTCTCAGAAGTAAAGACCATTGAGTTGAAATCACCGCCCACGAACCAGGGACCTTTTACTTTTCTCGCTAGTCTGTATAGCCCTTGCCATAAGTTTTCTCGTTCTCTTGATCTGGGACTAGCATATACTGCAGTAAAAAGAAAAGAAGAACCATTAGTTATCTGAACATTGCAATGTAGGAACTGGAAGTGTTGAATCTCGAAGTGTAGAGAGACATAAGAAGAATCCCAGCAAGCCCAGATACCCCCTGAGAAACCTTCTGCCTCAATTCGATGGGAACACGGGTATCCCATTTTCCGTATAATGCAAGATGCCCTATCACCACTTATCCGAGGTTCCAGAATAAATGTCAACATAGGCTTAATATCCATCTTCCAAAACTTAAAGGTATTCAAAAAGCGCTCACTAGCAGCTCCTTGACAATTCCACAAAAAAATACTCTGAGTGTACTTAATCATATTTGAGGTATGGAAAGTATCACTCCACCATGGAGTTGTCCGACCCCTCAATTTCTTCCCTAGAATCTTCTTCCATAGGTTCCTGCCCTCGACCAGGGTTCGAACAATCATGAATAATGGGGGGGTCGTCATCATCTAGACCCAAAGGGGGATCATTTTTGGATAAGGTTATGGCAGTATGAGAGGTGATATCGGGAGGGGGTGTGATTCGAGTGATGGGTTCTGGGTTGGGATGCTTAACAGATATTGAGCAGGCTGAAGGTAATGCGAGAGGTTGAGGGGGGTGCGGGGACGTGGGATTTGTCGGTAGGGTCGGAATCCCTGGTAAAAGGGAGCTAGCATTGGCTTGTTTAGGAGGCGAAATGTTAGGCGATATATCTTTGGCTAACTGAATTGAAGGTGAAGGGCGTTCGTTTTGGGTTGCACCAAAACGGTGGGTCGTGAGGATTTGTCTTTTGGGTAAAGAGAGCTCTTTCTGTCCCGTAGGCTGGGAGATTTCATTGGATGCAGCGTTTGATGAGCCCCCCTCCTCTAATGTAGCAAGAATCTGGAAGCCTTTTCCGTGAGATTTGTAAGAGTCTGCTTTGGAAGGTTGCACCTTAGTCTTTTCCATAGGTTTTTGGAGAGTGATTTCCTTTCTAGTTCTCCTTATTGGCTTCTTGGCGTGCATCCAAGGACCTAACTCTGATGGGACTGTTGAATGCGCTATATGCTCTGATTTCTCTGCCCTTTCAGCTGCGGAACCTTCTGAGACTATCCCCTCGGGTTCTCCTGATGTTCTTTGTTTACTGCATTGTTCCTTCAAATGTCCTATCACCCCACATGAGAAACAGATGGTCGGAAGATTCTCGTATTCCACCAGTTGGGTCAGGCCTTCGATTTCAAATGAAGAGATCAATGGTTTACTCAAGTCCAATTCTACAGCAACCCTTGCAAATCTCCCTCTTGACGCCGAAACCGTGTTGTAGTCAACTCGTATAACCCTTCCTATGTTTCCAGCAATTATTTCAAGCAAAGCTGCGTGGTAGTACTGAATCGGCATTGCCGGAAAACGGATCCAGGCTACCACATGAGATGGTTTCGCTTGAGACGGAACGAAATCAGGGGACCAACATTGAACAGTGAGGTACGCCCCCAATATTACCCATGGTCCCTCGCACAAAGCTCGCTGATAATCTTCTTCCTTCTGAAATCGTACCAGGAAAAACTCATTTTCGAGGTCAATGACCGTGAGTCTGCCCATAGGCTTCCAAAGAGTTTCCAACCTAGAGCTCATCGTCTTGTAGCTTAGCGTTTTGCCCAGGAGTTTTACCACTAGGGCTTTCTTCCAAGGCTGCGTAATACGGTCCAGAAAAGCTTCAGAAAGTGAGACCTGGAAACTGTGGGTCGTTTGTGATATGGCCACATCCTCATCCTCCAAGGGGACATCTCCGACGAAGAATGGGTCATGTAGATCTCCAGCTCCTTGAAGAACCTTATCCCTAAAAGAGATTCCACCAGTAGCCCATGCGTTATTAGAGAGCGGTGGAGCCTCCTCGTCCCTTGTTCTGATCTTTTTACTTTGGCGAGATTCCGGCTCAGTTCCGGTGGGATCATCAGGCGGCGGCGTGTTCATTCGGGAGAGGCTAGGGTTTCTTTCCGAAGAAAAAAAAAAAAATAATACTGTTTTTTTTTTTAAGATAGTAATGCATCGATGACTTTCCTTTGAATTTACTTATAACCCTTTTGTGTATATATTATCTTATATATATACATTTCTATACACGTTACTGTCCTAACCACAAAAAAAAAAAATCGCATGAAGTTAACACACACACACACACATTCATGCCAATATGAAATCACGAATTAGCCCTTTAATTTATTTTTGCAAAAGTATATTATTTTCCAACAATTATTTAAAGAGTAAATAAATGGCCAACAAATCAAAACTACTTTCCAACTCTGATTGACAAGTGTACGTACTCAGCAGCACATGCTTGGAACATGCCAGCGTCACCTTTATTCAAAAAAAGGATATTCAAATTGAAATTCTCAATATGCGACCAATTTATTATTTTGTTAATAATTAGCTAACATCTTAAAAATGTTTACTGTCTTTTATAGATAAAAACAATAATACAGCATTTATTCATGTCATAAAAAAATTAAAATAAAAATTAAGCTAGACCGTAACCACACGTGTCATACTGCCGAAGAAGGCATTTAAAAATATAATTATAAAAAGGGTAAAATCATGTTATTTGCTTTGACATATATGTTGTTACGGATATGGTCGGTCGTAATGTTCTTGGGAAGTATATACGTTTGATATGGTCGTAATGTCTCTGTGACAAGACCTAGATTCGACTCCACGACAGGGACATTAACATTTTTAAAAAATCTAACCTCACAAAAATAAACCTGCATTTAAATATTATATATCGAGATATAAAAGATAAAAATTTCAGAAAGAGAGAAAAAGAATCCAAACTAATTTTCTGTTGCATCATTAATAATTTATTATAAAAAAAATAAATTCCTTTAAGTATACATGTAATGTAAGGACAGTCACGAAACCTTACTAACAATAAAAAATGTAAGGAAACAACAAAACCCAACTAAATATAAATCGAATTAAATTAGACGAAATTGATTTAACTGGTAAGTCATCCTAAACAGTTTTATACGTTAAACTCTGACAAACAGAATAATATTAAATTTGAAACTTTATAAATTTTATATTTTTTATAAACATTCACGGGAAACACAGAGCCCTTTTATCTGCATTAATAATTTTCACTCTTTTTTATATATAATAATCGAGACGGCAGATTTCCCGATTTGAACGCTGTCCGAAACAAAAAAAAAAAAAAGGGAGCCGAGAAGCAGCATGGAGCCGAGCGGATATTTTACGGCTCATGAGACGATATCTACGAAGCTTCGAGATCTAACGGCTCAGATTAGTCAAGGAGAAGATCAGGAGCAGCAGAGGCGTCGGTGAGCTAACAAACATGTCAAGCAACGTCACCCTATCATTTTCTCCTCGGGGGCGGCGTCTTGCGGATTTTTCAATTTCATTCGAATTTCATGTGCCTTTTAAAAAATTTAATAAATAATTGAAAAAAAAATACAGATGGAATGTAGAAAATTCCCACCTATATAAACGCTCATATACTTTGCACCACTTACCTTAGTCGCTGCTTCTGTCGTCAATCTGCCATCCTCTATCATCTTCGCTAAGGTGAGTTTTGATCTTGTTTCTGCTCTGTATTCGAATTCGCTTACAAGTTTGCTTGCTGTTTAGGATTTTGATTTTCCGGATCCGTGTGGATAGCTTCGTTTTTGCAAGAAATGTTGTCTGTTTGTTCGGAGTCGGATTTGGGCCGAAGATTCTGGTTCCGATCTGGATCCTCGTTTCTTTAGGGTTTCTGTGTTAGATCTGAGGTTTTCTTCGTGCCTTTTTTTCTGTGCTAGCGGTGACCTGTTAGAATCTGCTGTCGGTCATGCTGCGTTTCAGCTTACCCAAGGCTTTTAGTTTGAAATGCTCTCGTTGTTTCAGTGTTCTGTTTGGTTGATCTAGTTCAGATCTTTGATCTGCCATGGATCTGCAATTAGAAGTGAATTTCAAGCTTGTTTTGTACCGATCTATGAATATGAGCTCAGTGTTTTGAACTTTGCCGAACATAGCTCTATTCGATTCTGATGCTGTTTGAGAGATTATTGTTAGATTCAGGAGCAGAGCGTTCATAATTTTGAGGTATGACGGAGCTAATCTTCTTGGTTGTAATTTGTAATCTTCCTTGATCTGTGCTTAGGTTGTAAAAGATGGCCGATGCTGAGGATATTCAACCCCTTGTCTGCGACAATGGAACTGGAATGGTGAAGGTGTGTAGACTAGTGGATATAGTCCCGATGTTTTAACCTCTTGTTTGGCGTCTGTATCTCTCCCTCTCTCTCACACACACCGGTGTTTGATATGTTTTGAATTCAGGCTGGTTTTGCCGGCGACGATGCTCCGAGGGCCGTGTTCCCGAGTATTGTTGGTCGTCCCAGACACACCGGTGTCATGGTTGGGATGGGTCAGAAAGATGCGTACGTTGGTGACGAGGCTCAGTCTAAAAGAGGTATTCTAACTCTGAAGTATCCTATCGAACATGGTATTGTGAGCAACTGGGATGACATGGAAAAGATCTGGCATCACACTTTCTACAATGAGCTCCGTGTTGCTCCTGAAGAGCACCCGGTGCTCCTGACCGAGGCCCCTCTCAACCCTAAAGCCAACAGGGAGAAGATGACTCAGATAATGTTCGAAACTTTCAACGTGCCTGCCATGTACGTTGCCATTCAGGCCGTTCTATCTCTCTACGCCAGTGGTCGTACAACCGGTCAGTGCAATTCCAGATGGATTTTCCATGTTTTTTTCATGTTATGCATCCGAATTTTGCCTAACTAACGAATCATTCTATTTCTGGTAGGTATTGTTCTCGACTCCGGTGATGGTGTGTCTCACACTGTCCCAATTTACGAGGGCTATGCCCTTCCGCATGCTATCCTTCGTCTCGATCTTGCCGGTCGTGACCTCACCGATTCCCTCATGAAGATTCTCACCGAGAGAGGTTACATGTTCACCACCACGGCAGAACGTGAAATTGTCCGTGACATCAAGGAGAAACTTGCTTATGTTGCCCTTGACTACGAGCAAGAGCTCGAGACAGCAAAGAGCAGCTCCTCAGTGGAGAAGAACTACGAGCTCCCTGATGGACAAGTCATCACTATCGGAGCGGAAAGATTCCGTTGCCCCGAGGTCCTCTTCCAGCCATCCCTAATCGGAATGGAAGCACCCGGAATCCACGAAACAACCTACAACTCGATTATGAAATGTGACGTCGATATCAGAAAGGATCTCTACGGTAACATCGTCCTGAGCGGTGGATCCACGATGTTCCCGGGAATCGCAGACCGTATGAGTAAAGAGATCACAGCTCTTGCACCAAGCAGCATGAAGATCAAGGTGGTTGCACCGCCTGAGAGAAAATACAGTGTCTGGATCGGTGGATCCATCCTCGCATCCCTCAGTACCTTCCAACAGGTAAAAAAGACTAGAGCCGATCTTTTTTGCATCACTGTAATGATAAAGATTCACACTTTGACATGAATGTTGTTTTCTTTAATCAGATGTGGATCTCGAAGGGTGAGTACGATGAGTCTGGTCCATCAATCGTTCACAGGAAGTGCTTCTAGGTCCAGCACAGACCCAACTGGTTTTATGGTGAGTTTTTTTTTTAAAATTTTTTTGCGGTTAAAATCCAAAAAACCCTTATTGTCCCGCGCGAGATTTCCTCGTGATACCGCTCTGTCCTTAAAACCTGAAACGGTCAAACTGTGGTTCGAGCTCTGTCTCTGCTTTCTGTATTTTCACCAGGTTGGTTTGTAGCCGGAGAGTGATTGTGATGATTTTCCATTTTCCTATTTTTTTTTTGTTTTTATAAAATATTGATTGTATTTGCCCTTTGTTTTGCTTTATCCAATATAAAATATTGTTTTGGAGTCTCAAGGTAAACCATTTTAATTGTATGATCGGCTTGCGGTTTATATTGGTTTAGAATTTTCTTTTTTTTTTTAGCTACGTAGATTTAATTTTTGAGCGTTAGAAAAAGACAGCGAAAGAGACTTGTTACTTTGATAAGACGCCTGATGCTTTGGTGTAGTATTATGTCAAGGCCGACCACCACGGGAGTTTGGTGTAGAATTTGATAGATGTCCGAATTTCAAAATAATGCCATTTACCCACTCTTGTCATAAAACGTGTATTTTAAGGGTTAAGCAATCAACAATCAAATTCCATATGTTATTGTTTCATATAACAAAAAAAAAAAAAGAATAAAAAAGGGAAAAAAAATGAGGAAAAGGGACGGATTGCTCGCTCAATTGGTGGGTGGTAGGGCCGTGGTGGCATGGCGTTGCTGCTAAAGCCGGCGTAAAAGCTAAAGACTTTACATCTCATACGCCAAATCTCTTGCCGCCTTTCCACATCTCTAAGTGATATGATTCCTAATCTTACGTTTATACGTCCACACAGCTAATTATAATCATCGAAAATTACTTTCTCATATACACACACACACATATATATACCTTCACAGCTTAAAATCTATATCACAGAAGTCCATGCGTAAAAAAAAAAAACAAGTTGTGGTATCGTCACTGTCAACCGATTGAATCAACTAGAAATACGTTGTTATTGTTGCTGTTCAAGAAAACATGTCCAAGAAGAACTCGGGAACTCATAAAACAGACCTCCGAAACGTTTGGAACTCTTGGAACAATCAAGCAGCCGAAGGAGACTCGGCGTTCTTCTGCTCGGCGAAAAAGGGGATGGGTTTTCTCGGGGCAGGTAAACGGCCGATGCTATCGACCTTATCTTGTTGTTTAGGAGGCGGTCTGGCCGCTTTTGGCAACAACCTCCCCTTCTTCTCGAACCACTCCGGTTTCAGCAATGCCCTTAATCCCAACTTGTTGTAATACACTCTTCTCACCGATCCTCCGGCTGCCTCCACTGCTTCTTTTGCCCTAACCGTCACCCTCGAAACCTGCCGTATGCATTTCTTGTCTAAATTATGCATGAATAAAGAAATAGAGATAGAGTTGTGCCAAGAACTATAACTAGAGATACATATAAAGACTAGAGAGCGAAGTTCTTTAGTTCAATAAGATAGCTGAACTGTGAGAAGTACAACAACAACATCGCCTTAATCCCAAGTTTATTTGGGGTTGGCCGCATGAATTCTTCTTTTCCATTCATTTCGGTTTTGCGTCATATTCTCAGATATTTGCAACATATCCAAGTCATTTCTAATGACTCGTTTCCAAATAAGTCTAGGCCTAGCCCTTCTTCGTTTCTTCACTCCCAAAAGTATCTGAGTAAATAATGGAAATGACAAAGGTACCTCCAGATGAATCGGCCATTTGATCTCATCAGAGCCTCGACCCATCAGTCTTACCCCGTCTTCTATTTGTTTGCCTATGGCTCCAGCATCCTGTATCAGGGCATTGAGAATTGGTATGAACTGGGATAATAAGAACAAGGAAGAAAGAAGCTGTGGGTATTAGATAATGGTCCAAGATTAGATTAGAGGAGGCTAAACCTTGAGCGTTTTCATGGTGATCAATTCGTGAGAGTCTATCTTCCCGGCATTTATGAGTTTCGCAATCTTTCCTAGACCAACTGGCTGCAATCAACAACCATATCCACCCTAATCAGTGCCTCAACAGGGAGGAATAAGACGCTTCAATCAGAGCCATCACTCTGATTCCTATATATATAACACTCGTAGAATATCACTGCGCTTCTATGCCATGAATCGAACCATTTCCCGAAAATCTGAATCTTTTGGAAGCCTCTGAGCTTAAAGATGAATAATTTTCCACAACACCTGAAACGCAGACAAACCCCAGAAACGAAGACCGTGAGCTTTACCTGGAAATGGAGCTTGAAGGCGTTCTTAAAGCCACGTTTGGGCATTCTTCTTCGCAAAGGAGTCTGACCACCTTCGAAACCGAACTTCATCGTACCTCTCGCCTTCTGACCCTTGTGTCCTCTTCCCGCGGTCTTCCCTTTGCCTGACCCGATACCTCTCCCTTTCCTCGTCCTGAGCTTCCTCGGCACATTGTCTCTCAGATCGTTCAAGCTCAGCAAACTATAAGCCCTAATCCCCTGAAATGACGGAGAGTTGCTCGTCCAGTAAGGATTTTGAGCAGGGTTTAAGGAGCGAAGGCATTGAAGAGGAGCGGGAGGTGCGAAAACGGGCTTGGCGGAATGGATCGAAGAATTGAGCAGAGAAGTCGAGAGAATCGAAGAGATTCTCCTTCTTATCATCTTGTCGTCGTTATATCAGTGATGGGTTTTCGATCTCTGGGATTTGAAATCCTAACAATTCATGACGGGACTTAGGGTTTTTTGGATCTACAAAATTGCAGAGACGAAGTCTTGGCGAGACGAGAGAGACGAAATACGAACTCTCCCTTTAATGGGCCTTGGCCTCTTCATGAGCCTCTTCTCTGTACAATTTATTGTGAATGCGGCTTTGGGCTAAACGGACATCTAGTGATATGTGAATGAAGAGGCCCATAAAGGCCCATTAATAGGAAAGCCCATAAAGGCAGAAAACAAATTAATTAATCAGATTAAGTTGTTTGTTTATTCCGAACTGTTCAAGTAATTTTATTAGTTGATACAGTTTATCAAACTAGGTTAAATTCAATTGTTTTAGAAAAATAAAAAAGGCCCAATTGATCACTCGTTTCAGAAATTTGGGGTTGAGATGAAATATTAAGAGGTTTTATTTGGTAAAAAAACAGGAATTTTATACATATGACCGAATTATCCATCCAATGGCCAGCGGTAACGTGTACATTTGTTAAAAGACATATATACCCCTTGTTACTTCAGTATTTACGTTTTTTGCTGGTAGGGTTTAAAACGGGTTTTATGTTTCTTTCGAACCTCAGAAATCACCACTCGCCTCCTTCGGTCCCTCGTGGCTAAGGTTTGTCTCTCTAGCTCTCAGGTGTAGTTGCGAGAGAGAAGACTTTGCCGTTCCTCGCAGGTTTATCTTCTTATTCTCTCGATTTATCTGTCTCTTGATTCTTTTTGCTTGGTTTTGTGGGTGACTCTGATTTTAGATTTGATTTGATCAACCTATTTTTGCTTCTCTAATTTACAAAGGTTTTGGTGTTTCTGGGTTTTCTTGCCTTCGGATGTTTTTCCCGGATTTCGATTTCTCCGTGGATACGCTTGTGGTGTGATTTCGTCGTGTCGATTCGCTCGATGATCCGGATTTTTCTAGTTCTAGATGTTCCTTTTAGCTTTTTAGTATGTGGTTCTTTCTGTTTGTCGATTCTATATCTGTTTCATGAGTCAGATCTCGTTTCTCTGTATGTTCATCGATTCCGCCGTTGTGTTTTCGGGAAGAATTTCTACTCCTGGATTTTCGTCCGACTAATCTGCTGTATTTGTTTTTACGTAATGTCGTTGAAATTTCATCTTGGAGACGTTGTTCGAGCGCGGGTGTGTGATTTCATCTCTGATTTTGGCAGGTTTTTGTGAAGTGTGAGACCGAGTTGATAGAAGATGGAAGCCACTTACAAACCCCCTTCTGATTTCGAATTGGATTCTCTGCAGCCCCTTGTCGACCTCGATTTAACTGGTTCGAAAGAGCTTTGGCTTATTCAGTGTCCCATGAATCAAGTATGTCTGAAGATTTCATATCCTGTCAATTCTTTATCCTATATACCCTTAATTAATGCTCATTAGGATTAGATTGAAAACGGTTCTTGAATTTTGGCTACTCATCAAAGTGCATAGTGTTGGATCAATGGATGCTACTCTGTACCACTTGACCCTCCTGTTCTGATGCTAATCAGACTGAAAGAGGCTGTCATTATTGATTTCAGTTCCCCGAAATCGATGGGAAAGAACTCGAGGTTAAGCTAGACAAGGCTGGGTTGTTGGGATGCGTCAAGGATTCATCAGGTCAGTTTTGTTTTGTGGGTGCTCAAGAAAAGCTTGTTACTACTGCTCGAACAACTTTGTTAGTACTGTCACTGACAGTTTTTTACATGAACCTTGTTGGCATGTTCTGTCTGTTGTAGGAAAAGAGTTTGACCTCGTTAGCTTTTCCTCTCAAGACGTTGGAGCCACTGTGATTTTGCCTTCTGGGTCGGAGTCCAAAATCGGTATAAACTAAACTCCTCTTGTATTGGCCATATTTTCTGTTAAAAAACGCTTACAGATATTGGCTGATCGATGTGGCATAAAGATTGTGTCTAATGCGATTAGAATCTTTCAAAGATTCCTGCTTTCACCTTTGTCTCTAAATTGCATATATTCAGCCCAGACATAATTATAATTATACCCTTTTGTTCCCTGCTAAATTTTCTTGCTTTCTTCATCGGCATTTGACAGTTGGGAAGATTTCTCGACGAGTTTCCCTCGTTCGTTACCCTGAACCCAGCGAAGTGATCGAGACAATGACTTCCAAAGCACAGCAGAGGCTGACTGGGGCATTGACAAACTCGTCCAACCCATTGTCGACCCCTTTGCAGAGCAATCGGATGAGAAGCACACACTCTGCCCTTCGGAACTCGACTTCTGCCCATAGCAGCAGACACCGAAGCTCGTTGTCTGGTTTCACCGAAACACCCAAGGCTTTGAAAAGGAAACACTCTGAGTCAGTTGGCAGGTCTCATCTCCCTGGGTCATCAGACAAGTCTAAGAAGAAAATCAAGTCTCAGGAGTGAAGATTGTTGCATTTTGAAAATTATATCGTTTTTTTATGACTGTATAGAGTGTTTCAGATTATGTAAGAGCGTTCATGAAATGTTTCACTAGAACTCTAATACGTTAAATGAAGTTGGAGAATCTTAGGTTTCCACTGGACGAATGATGAAAAACAGTAACGTGTCCCGGGCGTGCTTTTTTTCATTCTGAACCTTTTTTTTATACACAAAATTCTATATAAATGCAGCAATTTAAAAAATATATAAATATATTAAATAATATACAAATTTTTAAACTTTTAGAAGAGTATACCTAATGTTTTCAAAATTCTGAAATTGATGTACTTCTATAAGATTTTCCCTTTATAATATTTTAACTTTAAATTAGAATGTTTCCCTCGGATCCATGGAGCCACCACACATTGACTATGCATAATGTTTTGCTCTTTCCAAACTATATTGAAACGAAGTTTACCCGAACAAAACACCAAACAGACTCATGTTTTGTTTTGTTTTTTGTTTCCAGGCAAAAACATTCAAAGACAGATTCAGGCATGAGTGGTCGTGGTCGGAGTTGCAGACTCTGGTGATGGCTTCCATTGCTGAGGGGTCTGAGCTTTCTTAATGGAGAGAGCATGAATTTCCTTCATCTCTTCTTCCAACGCAGCATTCACCATCCGGTGCCTCTCTATCAACCTCTTCCCTTCGAATTGTTCAGACACAATCTCCACATCAAAGCTCGCGCCACAACTGCACTCAACGAGATTTGGGATTCCAAATTAGAAGATGATTGCATGCAAGAAAGATTCAGAGATGATATGAATTTTACCCTCCAGATGTGTCGGTGACTTCCTGTTTCACGAAAAAAACGAACAAGTCAACTGAAAAGTAACGAAGAACATTAGGTTCAGACAACATGGTATATCGAAATGTCTCAAAGAATCCAACCAAGGTAGCTCGTCCTAAAACCAAACGTTCATTAACAAGACCAAAGGAACTAAGATCAAAATGACAAGATAAGTAAAATCCCTTCCAGGGTATACGATAGATTAGAGGATCAACGATGCTATATCCAGTTTCAATACCCCGATAAACTTCTGCATCTGATACCAAGAGGAGGTATTGTCAAATACATCAAGATATAAGCTTTTTTCTTTCTCACGGTTAGTAAATTTGCTGATTTGTCCATGATCACACCTTAACTCAGTAGAGGGTACAAATGCATAGAAATGGATCGATTACTGACAACACGATTAAAAAACATTACTTCAGATTACTAAACCAAGTAACAGGTTTAATCGACAACGGTAAAATGCCCTATATCCAATTTTCACCACATATCTAGTGTTTGGAGAATTTCCTATAATAGAGCACCAAAGAGCCGGATATTGAATCAGTATGGAACATCGGAACTATGTAAACCCTAAAATGTGTCATGCTACTTCACTAGAGTACGATAAATCGTTTCACATTTCATCACAAATCGGAAAGAGACGAAATCTCCAAGCATGTGCGCGCGCTTAATGTGTCGATGCAGAATCGTTCTCAGAGCGCTACAGTTCTAGATTCCTCTTAAATCCTAAGAAATGATTCCGAATTAAACGTATGAAACATGGAAAAGACAAAATCGGGGCAGACAAAGGAATCGATCGAACAAAAAAAAACTCACGAGATGAGTAGGTTTGAGTTTCGAAGTCAACGAGGCTTCTACTTGTTCCTTCGTCACCCCCATCTCTCTCTCTCTCTCTCTCTCTCTCTCTCTCTGTGCAAATCAAAAACCTTGGCAGTGCCCTAACATTTAAGAAGCGTGTCTGGTTTTTAGATTCGGTACATTAATCTATGGGCTTTATCCCAACCCGGACTAGTTCTTATTTCGATATCGGAAAATAACTGTTTGGGCCTGAGGTACTTGTGGGCCGGGCCTATAGTTAGGCCCATTTTCGTGGGCTCATTTGTATTTTGTCTCTATACCCAGCCCAACATTTAATTAGCTCCTTTTCTTTTTATTCATACATTTTTGCTTTGTTTGTATTCTAAGTTTGTATACTCCAATTATAATATTTTATATTATGATTCAAATGTATAAATAAGATTCAACAGTAATATTAAATAAGATTCAACAATGATATTACGTTTTTTTTTAAAGGGGACAATGGTATATAGCAAAAACTCACCCGGGAACAAATTTATAACTATTTATTTCCTATGTTATTTATTATTTATGACCTCATATTAAATGTAATGATGTAAAACTATGCTCAAAATAGTAATTAAAAAAAGAGAGAAAGGATCTTTAGAATGAAGTTATAACATTTTAAATAAAACGGAAAAAAATGATTATATTTTAAAAAAATGGAAATAAAAATCGGAGACCCACCTTTAGTTTGATTACACCATTATTAGTCATTTTCTTTATATCCAAATGCATATGGACATTACACATAAATGCAAATAAGAACTACGTAAACTTAACCAACCTGGAAATAACACCCACTTTTGTTTGATTACCCACTACAAAAATATCTTTTAAATACCACTAACCCAATATAATAATATATTATTTATTGTGTTTTTTTTCTACTTATAGAAATTTTTATATTTAATCAAATCTATCAAGATGTACCAGCTTGTCATGATAATAATTAAATATTATAATATATCGGTCAGTCTCACATACACAAATTTATTTGCCAAGCGTGTCATAATAACATATAATCTGTATTTTATTTAAAGAAATCAGATTTTACAAACTATACTTTATTTCTTCTTGTTTTTTGGTATAAAACCCAAATTATACTAATAAATCAAATTACTTAAATTTGCAACAGCAATTATAACACATTTAATAACATTTTAAGAAAAAAATCTCAAAATAAAAATCTTGTTATATCCAACCTGAAGACTGCCAACGTGTCATCGTGACATCAGCGATGGTAAAGAAGACAGCACACAAAAGAAATAGTATAATCATCGTTACGTTACATATTTCGTTCGAAATCACATCTTTGGTATTTTACAGTAATTGTATTAAATTAAGGAAAAAAAAGATTGGAAATGTGATAAGATCGAAGTTTGCGGGCAGGTAGAGAGAGAGAGAGAGAGAGAGAGAGAGAGAGAGATCAGAAACCGTTGGTATAATTACTAAATCTATTCTCTTTGTCCCTTCTTCAATGGTCGTAGATAAATTGTCGGACTCATCTTCTTGATCTCTCCACTTTTCTCTCTCTCTCTCTCTCGGCGAACAAAATTAAAGAATTCAGAGAAGAGAGACACTCGGAGATCGTGCGACAAGGATCGATCGAGATGGGGAACTGCGCCACAAAGCCCAAGGTTCTGAAAGATTCCGACGAGGCTCCGCCGCCGGTGGAGGAGTCCAAGAAGGAGATTCCTCCGGAGTATGTGCCGCCGGCGGCCGGGCGGCGGAGCGATAAGGGGAAGGAGATTTTGGTGGTCGCCGCCGACGAAGACGACGACGAACTTAATGCCGGAAAGCGACCTTCCCTTAGTCACTTGTTCAGCGAGGTATTTCTATTTTCCATTCCATCAAATTCCTTTATTTTTCACCAAAAAAAAAAGAATCATAATAATCACTTATTTATTTATTTATTATCAAACATGTTTAATTCTTTCAGTACATTTTAGTTTAATGTATAGCGTAGGATTGGTTCTATCTTACGATTATTTCACGTAACTATGGGAAATATTATTCGAGAAGTTTGTATTCCAATCTATATTTCATCAAAATTTAAATCATTCTATCCATAAAATCAAACAAGGATGTAACCAATACTCCGTATTTTCTTACATTGATTTACGCATACAAATGATAACTTCCAAACAAAATTTGCTGTTTTAGTTATTTTTTGTTTGGTCGGCAGTTACAACTTACAAGCTTTGGTAATGAACGATACGGTATCTTGAAGGACACATCAAAGCGCTGTTGCCTTTTGCTAAAAAAATTAATAATATTGCACTATTTTCCCTTTTTCATTTGTTTTGCTGGTGGGCCCTTCACAAGGACAATAATTTTTACCAATAAAAAAAAAATAAAAGCATAATTTAGCCCATTTCCATAAATATTTTTTAATTTTTTTAAAACGAGACCATTATTAAAGTTTATTGGGTTAGGCTAATAGTTTCCTTAGGAGAATGTGAAATTTCATTCTGTAAATTTTTTACGTGGTTGATAATCTCCATGCAGGATAAGGAGAGGGAGACAATGCAAATAGAGGAGGACGAACCAGAACCAGAACCGGAACCGGTTAAGCTAGATATAAAGAACCAAACCGGTCTATCATCAGATGTGTCAGAACAGGAAGCTTGTGTTCCCGAGATTTACGAGCTTAATGTTCCACCACAACCGACAAATCAAGAGATCAAGAACCAAACTGACCCACCATCAGAGACTCCAAAACCAGAAACTGCTCTTCCAGAACTCCCTAGGGTTATTGCTCCACAACCGGTTATCGATAACCAAACCGACTCGTCACCGGAGATCCCAAAACCGGAAGATTTCGTTGCAAAGGTTTACGAGGTTGAGATGAACAACAACCAAACCGGCACAACAATGGAACCACCACCTGTTCCAGAAACCTCGGATGAGGTAATCAAGATACCAGAAGTTTCCGTCGATGCGAAGGAAGCTTCTGGAACATTCCCCGTCGACCAACAGGAACAAGTGTTCGAAGACGCTCAAGAAAAGATGGAACCCGAGCCAGTTGTCAATGCGACATTAATGGCAATAGATAGGCATGAGAACGAGGAAACTGTCAATGCAGAGGCAAATAACGGTAAGGATGATACTAGTGTGTTTGCTGATGAGACAGAGAAACAAGGAGTAGCCAAGTGAAAACTCTGGTTTATGTCATGATAAATGGTTATATGATTTTCAGTAATATTCGAATCTTTTTGTGGGTTCCTTCCACAACAAACTAAAACTACAGTTTCAGTTTAAGAAAATGTTCGAGCTGTAATTGTTTTACATTAGTTACATATTATATTTTGTGAACTATTTGTAAATTTGATTTGGAATTATATATGGGTGTGTATGTTTATGCCATATTGTCTTTGAAGCACGATAATAAGAACAATGGACGGAAGGTTTAATTATATAACTACTGTTATCATCTCTAAATTTCGTATATATGCATGTCAACAACCAAAGCATGTCGTTGCATGTCGCATGTATAAGTAAAACTCTTCCCATATATATAATTATTTGGAAAAACAATACGAGGGGCGAAAATTGATAAGACTGAAAAAATATTACACGTGGGACCAAAACAAAAAGAGGGAAAATAAGAAGTTACTCAATTGAAATGGAAAATATGCGTGAAAATATGATTAAGTTGTGTAAATGTGTATATAATTATATATACTAATCCAAAAAAAAAAAAATCTAAGATCAACCAACCACAACCTTGACTTCATTTTCCTTTCTTAGAGCAGACTTGGGATCATCGTCACCGTTCATTTGTTCTCTAC